TGTTTTTCAGAGTCCATCATCTCTCATGGTTCGTCTCCCCCTCGATTTTCCCCCCTTCATTCTTCCCCTCCTGCTATCTTCTTCTTTTTTTTTTTTTTTAACATATAATGTATTATTTGCTTCAGAGGTACAGGTCTGTGATTCAACAGTCTTACACAATTCACAGCGCTCACCATAGCACATACCCTCCCCAATGTCCATTACCCAGCCGCCCCATTCCTCCCACCCCACCCCCCACTCTAGCAACCCTCAGTTTGTTTCCTGAGATTAAGAATGAAGGAATTCTTAATCTCAGGAGCACCTTTAATTCTTATACATATGTGAGGGTAGTTGTCACACATTTAAAAATAACCTAAATATCAAGATGCTGAATGCTTAAAACTAGACAAGAATTTATTTGCTTTATTATTTCAGGGTCCCTATGAAAATGGAACTCCTATAAGAGTTTGACTTGAATTCTCTTTCCATAATTCTGCTTATTTATAATCTTCAAGGCATTTAGCTTTCTCTAACCGTAAGCTATGAATCAAAATACATCTGAAGTTAAAGCACACCATCTGATGCAGTTGCTGCTGATACTACTTTATAACTGTTCTGTAAAGATTCTGCCTCAGGGAATAATCATAATAATGACTATTATTAGTATGTAATCTTCCTCTTTGACTAAAATTTTAGATTATTTTTGTTGTCATCATAAACATATATTAGCTTCTCAAAAAGCCTTAAGTTCTCAGACTTGGAGTATTGGTTCACTCTCATTGTTCTTAAACTCTTTCAGGATACTTACCGAAGAAGGCAGATGCAGCGGACCATTACTCGGCAGATGTCCTTTGATCTTACAAAACTGCTGGTTACCGAGGACTGGTTCAGTGACATAAGTCCTCAGACCATGAGAAGATTACTTAATATTGTTTCTGTGACAGGTAGCTTTTGTTTCTTACTATCTTGTGGTAGATAATAAACTTGAACACATTAGCAAAGCAATTCACTTTCAGAAACAAAAGGATGTACTGTGTTCATATGTTTATACTGCTGTATACCACTTTTATTTGCCTTAAGTGTATCTAATAAAACCTATATTAGTTTTGGGGCACCTGGGTGGCTCAGTCGTTAAGCGTCTGCCTTTGGCTCAGGTCATGATCCCAGGGTCCTGGGATCAAGCCCCGCATCGGGCTCCCTGCTCGGCGGGAAGCCTGCTTCTCCCTCTCCCACTCCCCCTGCTTGTGTTCCCTCTCTCGCTGTGTCTCTGTCAAATAAATAAATAAAATCTTTAAAAAAAAAACAAAAACAAAAAAAAACCTATATTAGTTTTGACAATGAAAATCAACCATCAGTTGTACACTGTTATTTTTAAAACTTGATGATTTAAAAAATCTTTTATTTCACCTCAGGTTTAATTTTTCTCTTTGTATAAAGATAATTTTATGCTAATTTGTATGACTGAGTATAAATAACTTAAAATTTAAAATGTTGGCATTCAGATTTTGTACACTGTTTTAGTTTTCAAATGATAGATTTTTTCTTTTTTATTGGGTTAAGTAAAATAACACATAACAAAATTTACTATCTTAACCGTATTGAAGGGTATCGTTTGGTGATATTAAATGCATTCACACTGTTGTGCACCCATCACCACCATCCATCCCCATAATTCTTCCCATCTTGTAAAACTGAAACTCTGTACCTGTTATATAATTACTCCCCCTTCTCCCCTTCCTCAGCGCCTTGCAACCACTATTCTACTTTCTGTTCTACAGAATATTACTACACTAAGTACCTCATAAAAGTGGAATCATAATATTTATCTTTTTGTGACTGGCTTATTTCACTTAACATAATGTCTTCAAGGTTCACCATGTTGTAGCATGTAGAATTTCCTTCCTTTTAAAGAATGAATACTATTCCATTGTGTATATACCATATTTTGGCTTATCCATTCATCTATTGATGGACATGTGGGTTGCTTCAATGTTTTAGCTATTGTGAATAATGATGCTATGAACATGAGTGTATCTTAATATTTTCCAAGACCATGCTTTCAGTTCTTTTGGATATATACTCAGAAATGGAATTGCTGGGTCACATGGTATTTCTATTTTTAATTTTTTGAGGAACCTAATTCTGTTTTCCATGGCTGCACCATTTTACATTCCCACCAACAATGCACAAAGGTTCCAATTTCTCTACATCCTCACCAACGCTTTTTTCTTTTTATTTATTTTTTGATAGTAGCCATCCTAATAGGTGAGAAGTAGTATCTCATTGAAGATTGGATTTGTATTTCCCTAATGATTAGTGATGTTGAGCATCTTTTCATATGCTTATTGCCATTCCTATATCTTCTTTGGAGAAATGTTTATTCAAGTCCTTTGTCCATTTTTGCATTGGGTTGTTTGGGTTTTTTATTGTTGAGTTTTAGAAGTTCTCTGTATATTGTGGATATTAATCCCTTATCAGATAAATGATTTGCAAATATTTTCCCTCATTCTGTGGGTTGCATTTTTACTTTGTGGATAGTGTGTTGTGGTGTACAAAATTTTAAAATTTTCTTGAATTTCAGTTTGTCTGTTTGTTGTTGTTGTTTGTGTGGCTTTGGTGTCATATTCAAGAAAGTACTGCCAAATCCAGTGTTGAGAAGTTTTTGTCCTATGTTTTCTTCTAAGTTTTAAGTTACATTTTATTGTTTTAAGTTACATTTAGGTAACTTGATCCATTTTGAGTTAATTTTTATTTATGGTGTTAGGTAGGGGTTCAACTTCATTCTTTAGCATGTGGATCTCCAGTTTCCCCAGCACCATTTATTGAAAAGACTGTCCTTTCCCCATCTAATGGTCTTGGCACCCTTGTCAAAAATCATTTGACCATACACATGAGGATTTATTTCGGCTCTCTATTCTGTTCTGTTGATCTATATGCCTATGTTTATGCCAGTCTATACTGTTTTGATTACTGTAGCTTTGTAGTCAGTTTTGAAATAAGGAAGTGTGAGTCCTCCGGTTTTGTTCTTCTTTTTCAGGATTATTTTGGCTATTCAGTGTCACATGAGATTCCATATGAATTTTAGGATGGGTTTTTCTATTTCTGCAAAAAATGTCATTGGGAGTTTTGACAGAGATTTCATTGAGTCTATAGATGACTTGGGTTAAAATGTCAATAGAGTGTTCCAATCCATGAACATGGACGTCTTAATTAACTTATAATTTAAAATGTTGAAATTTGGGGGCACCTGAGTGGCTCAGTCGGTTAGGCATCTGCCTTCGGATCAGGTCATGATCCCAGGGTCTGGAGATCAAGCCCCGCATCGGGCTCCCTGCTTGGTGGGGAGTCTGCATCTCCCTCGCCCTGCTCTTGCACTCTTACTCACGCTCTCTCTCTCTCTCTCCCCCTCTCAAATAAATAAATAAAATCTTTAAAACAATGTTGAAATTCAAATTTTATATGCTGCTATTGTTTTAGTTTTCAAATAATATTTTAAATAAAAATATTGACAATAAAATTGAAGATTATTGCCCTGTGCCTGAATTCCATGCATAGAATTCAGCTCTTCACCATGTTAATGCTTACATATAAATATAAATACATATAAATATGAATTTAGTATATAAGTGTATGTTTCTGTGCATCGTATTGAATGGTACTTTGTAATATTGACTAGTGTTAACACTGTTATGATAGTTACACTGGAATTTGCTTTTAGACTAAGGTTGGGGTACATGCTATGAACTAAATTGCAAGTGAAGTTGTATCTAATATATGTACAATATTTTTGGTAATTAAATCCCTTTAAGTGAGGTCTCAAACGTTATTAAATTGATTATGTTCTACAATGGAAATGTTCTAGCATATTATCAATATCTTTGTATGCATTTAACAAATATATGGTGACTGTCTAGATATGCCAGATATCAGTCTGGGTATTGTGAGATAAGCAGTAAACAAGATAAAGTTCTTGCCCTATTGGTAAAGACAGAAACATATAAAGTCATGTAACAATAAGTACCATAAAAACCTCATCTACCCTTACCATTTAGTGTCGGAATGCCCCTGGTGCAGTCATTGTTTCTTTCCTTTTCGATCTGAACCAGCTCCTTTGGTGATCTCATTTAGTCCCAAAGGGTTGCATACCATCTACATGCAAAAGATTCTCAAATGTATATCTTCAGCCTTGTTGCTCTTCAGTTGCCTACTTGATATCTAGTGGTGTCTAATATATGTCTGATACATACCAGGTCCAAAACTGAACTTAAGATCTTCTGCCCCAAACGTAATCCACTTATAGTCTCCCATCTCAGTTAATCCAACTCTTTTCCCAGTTCCTTGGGCAAAAAAACATTGGTATCTTTTTTTCATATACTGCCTCCAATCTGTAGTGCATTCTTTTTTTTTTTTTTTTAAGATTTTATTTATTTATTTGACAG